AGCCTTTATCCTAGACTCTTGAGTCTCCACAGCTTCAATGAAGACATTGTCTTCTATATGTAGCCAATTCACAAATTTACACTTTTAACCCACAACTCTCCAGACCTGTCAATTCATCATATACCTTAATGTCTTATGGGCATCACAAACTGAAGATATCCAGAACACAACTTATAATCCTTTCCTCATAGCCTTGATCCTTTTCCAGTATCTCCTCTCTCAGTGAATAGCATCATCATCCAGCTAGTTATGCATTTGAGAACCCTAGGGGTCATAAGTGATACCTTATATTGAATGCCTCAGCATCCAGTCAGCCACCACCACCACAACAGCAACAAAAATAGCCAACATTTATTGAGAACTTACTCATTATCACATCCCGTTTTAAGTTTTCTTAACTTGGTTATCTTATTTAGTCATCACAACCACATATAGTAGTTATCACTGCCAAGTCCTGCTGATTGTTTCTCCTAACTCCCTTGAATATATCATCTTTTCTTCATTGATATTGCTGCTGCTGCTACCACCTTAGTCCAAGGGACTATCTCACTGGGTTACTGTACCAACTTCCTGTTTAGTTGGCCAGCAACCAGTCTGAGAGCTCTCTAACTCATTCACCACGGAGCAGTCAGTCATATTTTTCAAAAGACAGATAGTACCCACTCATCCCTCCTTACATACACACATTTGAAAGGGTTTTAGAATAAAGGCAAAATCTCCTAACCTGACTTATAAGGCTATGTATGGGCAGGTCCTCAGCTACTTCTCCAGTTCCATCTTTCACCATCCTGCCCCTTATGTTCTGTGCTCCAGTCACACTGGTCAGTCTCTTGTACTTGCCATTTTTTGGTAAGAAGGTCTCTGACTCAGGGCTTCTGCATATGTTGTTCCCTCTAAGAGGCTTTTCCTTAAGGTACCTGGTTAATACACACTCTTATTTCAGCTCAGTTCAATTATCACTTCCTTAGGGAAAACTTTCTGATGGCCAAATCATCCATCTATATGCCCTCGTTGTATCATGTCCCTCTTCTTAATAATACCCACCAGTGTTGCAATTTTACATTTTGTCATGTGATTGCTTGACTAATGTCTCACTCTCCTGCTAGCCTATCAACTGCATGATGACACGGACTGTCAGGTTTTGTTCACCATTGCAACCCCAGAATCTAGCAAAATGCCCAGCACACAGTGTGTTCTCAATAAGCATTCATCTGAGTGGATGAGTTAAAAAGCCAAACTGAGATAGGGGAATAAATAAACAGTGAGCCGAAAGAGGCAGTCAATCTACCCACTTTTGGTTTTAACAAGGAGGAGAGAGGTGTTATTTACAGTGGAACATTGAGACTCCGAGTGGTTGGATGGCTTTGTTGGTTGGTTTAAAAGTTTGAGAGGTTAAAACATGCCTAAATGCCGATGACAAGAATCCAGCTGAGAAGTTAAAGATGCTCAACAGAGATGGAATAACCAACAGTATAACTTTTCTGACAAGGCTAGTATTGAGGGAGTCAAAGCCCAGGTGAAAGTACTGACCTTAGATAGAAAAAGAGGCAGCTTCTCCATTGCAGCAGAGTAAAAAGAGAAAGCGTCAAAAAAGGTTTATAGACTTGGTGACGGAAAGTTCAACGTTAGATAGTTCCAGACTAATGACTCCTACTTATTTGTAATGTCAAAAGAGGGATGATCTGCTGAAAATGAGGATAAAGAAAATGGACCCAGGTTAGAGGAAAATAGTAAAATAAATGGAAAGTAGGACTGCTCACCAGTACTGACAGCCCAGCTGAAATTAGGACTTACCTGGCAGAAGACTGCCCAATAATGGGATATTCCCCAGCTGTGCTTGGATGCCTTGCACACAGAGGGTAAACAGTCATCAACGCTTTTTGCCAGAGAGATGTGAAAAAAGAACAGAGGGTCAAGAAAGCTTGGGGCATTTGAAAGAGAGGGAAGAGAGAGACGCTATCTTCTAAGCTGGACAGACAAAAAGAGAAGAGAGAAAGAGCTAAGAATAGAAAGGTATGAATGATGGCAATTATTATGAGAATTAAATGAGACAAAGCATGTAAAACATTTTGCAGAATGGCTGGTAGAGAATAAGTGCTCAAGAAGGGTTTCTAATATTGAGGATTTAACACAGAAAATTTAGATTACTATTCACAAGAGACCCTAAATATTAACGACATGTAGCAATTTACAGTCTTGGAGTGGTGAGTATACAGACACTGAGTCATTTTAGCTACTAAGTGAGCCCAGCTGACTGCCCAGCATCCAATCCTCACATCACCTTTGTGGTTCTCTCACATAACTCTCAATAAGGGCTTTAACATAAGCTTTTAAGTTCCAATTATGCTTTAATTCATTTAACATGAGAAAACTGTAAATTACAGTGGTACTCAGGAAGGTCTCAAAACACATTCCTCAAATGCTAAGGGTCTCCTGGACTTCATCAACAGCAACTGGATAGCTCTGCTTTATAGACCCCTCTCCAGTGTAACAGGTAATAAAATTAACCTAAATGGAAAGTTAGGGAAATAAATTAAAAAGTGCTCAACCTAATTAAACAAGATGCCACACTCACTAGAATGGCTAAAGTTATAAAGACTGACAATACCAAGTGTTGGCAAGGATGTAGAGCAAAAGCCTCTCTCATACACAGCTGAGAGAAGTGTAAACTGGCACAACACTGGAAAACCCTATGACAGTATCTATTAGAGCCGAAAGAACTATGACCTTTAACTCAATAACTTCACTCTTAGGTATTTCCCAACAGCAATGCATATATGTACACATCAAAGGCATGTACAAAATGTACTAAACTGTTCAAAGTGGTACTTTCGTAATAGGCCCAAACTGAAAATAACCCAAATGTCCACAATGATAGAATGGATAAATTGTGGTGTATTCATACAGAAGAATACTATCTACAACAACGATGAACTAGTACTACACATAACAACATAGATGAATCCCATAAACAATGCTGACTTTCAGAAACCAAGATGCAAAAGTGTATACTGTATGATTCCATTTATATAAGTTCAAAAGCAGGAAAAACAAATCTATGGTGATAGAAGTTGTAAGAGTGGTTACCTGTGAGGGAGTAGTGACTGAGACAGGCATAAGGGGGGATCTCTGATGTGCTAGTCATGTTCTATCTCTTGGTGTTGGTATGCTCATCTCGTAATAACTCATTGAGCTGCATGTTTATGATTTATACCCTTCTACCTGAATCCTATATTTTATTGGAAAGTTTACATAAAAATAAGAGGCTAGAAATGACTGAAAGGATGATCGAGGAAAAGGCTCCCTAAGACGCTGAGGCTGCTGGCTCTGCAGAACCCCCTTTTGCTACTATGTATAGGATTGGCTGTTATGCTATAGAGAGATAAAATAACCTAAATCATATTATCTAAGATCACAAAACTAATGAATGGTAGAGCAGGGTTTGGAATTCAAGTATTCTAATTTCAGTGTTCTCAAATTCTTGTAGGAATGTTTCCGGGTGTGTATACAGGGGTCCTTGTCATCTGGCACTCATTATCCTGATCCTCAAAGTAATGAAATTATAAGGGACGGCAAAAATTCATAATACAAAAATACTGACTAAAGAACAAGAACACTTATAAAACTGGTCCTTATTCCTCCTCTGACTCAGACCAGCTTCTATTTCTGCCAATTACCATCAACTGCCCTTGTCAGTCATTCTTGGTCTCTCTTGTGTTATGATGTTAAATAGAATACAAATATAATATAAATCAAACTGCACATCTTGCAAAAGGATTCCAGGAAGTTGGAAAAAGTGCTTATTGGAGAACTGTTTGAATAACATGCAAAGCTACTGACAAAAGGAGAATCCAGCAGACTAAGGTCAGTTAAACATTGCGGAAGAGATCCCTGGTTGCTCCCCAAGCATCCATTTTCCCCTTCCTACTCAGTAAGAGAATCCTGATTCTTCTCTAACTGTAGTCCTATTTTAACAGTAAATAAACAGATATTAATATAGTCTAAAGCTAAGTCTAAGAATGGATTTGAATCAATTTTTAAACCCAAAGAGCTAAACATACAGTTTCAGACAATCCCCTCCTCCTCCAGTAAACAGCTGATGCTGCAACCCAGCTGCACTCTATGTAAGGAATGAGGCAATGCTTTACAACGCTACAGTCCAAGGACGAAAACGCATATTTGGGGGAGTGGGAGGGGTGTTGGAAACAAATTTGAGCACTGAATTGTGTTCAACTACCATTTACAGGCAGACACTAGTTAAATGCACCGGTTATCTGAAGTCAGTGGTGTTGTAAATATAAAAAGGTTTACATGAGAGGAACATTAACGTTTACATGAAAATAGATACATGAAAGTAAGTTACATAAAATACAGAATACAGACATTCACAGCTACTTCAGCACAAAGGCCAGGAAAGATTTAAAGGCATTCCCACAGATATCTACCGCATTCCTGCACCATGCCAGGAGCTGATGAACAAAGAAAAGATCCCAGCCGTCCGAGTTTTGCTTAAGGAAACCAGAAGTTAACATCTTCATAAAAATCTTAAATTCCTCTACTGTTGCCCCTATTCCCAACAGAACCACTAGATAAGCGAAGCAGTCATTGCAGTTACTCATACATCCTGCTTTTGTCCTCCTGAAAAACGGGACCACAGTCACAAAACCGAAACATTTCCACAAACCTCCTTAGATGCGTATTTTCTATTAATATAGCTTACAGAATCAAAAAGTAACCAAGTGACTTTTCCATGCTTATTAGTAGTATAAGACGTTATGGAATTAAAATAAATAAATAAAACCTCTCTAGTCTACATTCTCCGGCGTTAAAATCCGTTTTTTCCATAACCCACCTTTCGCAGACGTGCTGAAGACCTTTATTAATGCGCCACACATCAAAGACAGAACAAAGAGCTCCTCTTTACAACAGGGACGCACAGTGCCCTTAAGACACGGCACAGTATTTATCGATGACTGTTTCTGTCCTAAATTAACACGTACCGGAGGATTTGTCTTCAACCAGCTCCACCCGGGTAAGACAGAAGGGGGGCGGGGATCCTTATTTAAGAGTAGCTGATTTCAGCCCAGCAACGCTTCTCCCTGCTTTGGGGGCTGTGCCAATGGGCTTCTCCGCACAAGATCTCACGACACCTTAAAACTGCTGGCCAATGGAGGGATCCTGGCCTCACAAAGAGATAACTAGGGCAGAGCTGTTATACAACCAATACCCACGCCGAATGCCAGCGTCCCCCAGGACTCTGATTTGGGAGCTACAGCCTCGGCAGCCGCGGAAGCACTTTTGCTTGAAAACTGCGACCCTTACTGAGAGCAGCTTCGCTTGCGTGCGAAAATAGAAGGAAGGGCGAGGACGGAGGAAGTGGAGGATCGCGACCCACAGGGCGCGGGGTTCGGCCCAGGCAGCAAGGGGTCCCGAGTCCCGGACCACCTCCCCGCTGCCGTCCGTCGCTCCCACAGAGGCGGTACCTGTTTCCGCATGTTATTCATGACTCCCATGAAGCCTGCCAACAATTTAGCTTCTTCTCGAGCAGCAAGTTTCTTCTCGGTCTTCTTCTTGCTGCTCTTCTCCACCCCGGAGGCTGCCATCCTCCGTCAGCTCGGTTACCGCCCGGGGCTCGCCGCTCCGGGCGAGGGGGTGCACGCCCCGGGCACGCTGGGGCTTCTGTTTACCAAACACCAAAGCCGGGACTGCGGCGGCAGCGTCCTGCTGCGGAGCGGGCGGGCGGCGGCGGCGCGGCCACTGCCGAAGGACAAGGCCCGCGACGCTCTCCCAAGCTCCCGGGGAGGCGAAGTCGCGGGCTCGGCTGGGTCCGGAGCAGAACCCGAACCCGGCCGAGGAGCCTGCGCACTGAGCTCCCCGGGGGCGGGGGCGCGATGAAGGGAGCAGGGGGCGGGGCCTCGCGTCACGCCGCCGCCGCGCCGAGCGACGCTGGGCGCCGCCGTTGCGCGTTTGTGGCCACCCTGCGGAGCGTCAGTTTTGACCTCGAGCCCGTCCGCGGTGGCGCGTGCGTTTTGTTTTGTCCAAAACAGGTTTTAGGAATTTAGACTACGTCCCAAGATTATCTTTTTTGGGTAATGGGGCAGTAGACCACACCAAAATGTTTCGCATTATTGTAAGCTCCATAGGAACAGGGCTGGTGTTTTCACTGCTCTGTTAGAGACTGACATGTTGCAGAGGCTCAGTAAGTATTTATTAAACGATGAAACATGTGAACAAGCTTTTGGGACCCCTTTCCCTGGTCTAACAGGCAAATCTAACGACGAACTGCGTGGGGTTTAAGTCAGTACAATAAAAATTCCCGCTACAGTGCAGCAGCCACGCAGGCCGCCCTCAGCACGTGTTAAAAAGACTTTGCAACTCCTCACCTCATGACTGAAGACACAAGCTAGAGAAATCAGAAACAGGGAAAGATAAAAGGTCCCTAGCTCTTACGTTCCGAGCTGCATTTCGTAGAGACTGAGGGGAAAACTAACGACCCTGGTCTTTGTCTCCCTCTGCACGTATATACGTCAGCATCCCAGAGCTTGTTGGATGTATGACCAGGAAATTATTGTTTATATTATCCTTAATGTATAATCTAGAGAAAAACAGATGTACCCTATCCCTTTTGACATACGTGAAATTTAGTTGTAAGTTCTTTTCTGCACGTACACTGTTTGTAAAAGATAGATAAGCTGCTCTTAAACCCACGCACCTCAGGGCAGTTCCATCAGCACTCTTGAGCTGTTTCCTGGGGCTCAAGCTCCTTATTTGCATTATTGAATAAATGCCTTCACTAATATTACCTAGACTCTATTTCAGTTGACAAAGACTATCATATACTGCAAGTTAAAGGCTTATTACCTGGAGCACAAGGTTTATTTGCTTGGGATTCATAAAGCGAGAACACACAGTCCCATTGGTGTCTCCTTGATATAGAACGCCTGCCTGCTTAGGCTGATTTACTCCTCAGTGTTTGAAACTAAGATCAGGTGTCAGCTCCACGAATCTTCAGTTAGGCTTCCTCAGGTGTTCTATGGAAACACGAGACAGTCACAGGACTCATGAAAATGCTGTTTGTAACTGTAATTATTCTTTCTAATGTATGGTAATATACAGGATTATTTGCAATTGTTCATTATTTTACGTTACAAAAACTTTATGCGTATCCCCTTGATTTTCTACCTGGGTTTATATAGGAGTGTACAGAGACATTTTATGTAAAATAATTTACACTATTGAAGCATTATGCTTTCTCTTCATGAAGACAAACAATATAGTATAACTCAAATGAAAGAGCGAGTGGCGTATAAGCCTCCATTTTTATAAAACAGTAACACATTTATGCCTCTGTGTACTGTATCTTTTTTCTTTTAATCTGGAGGTTCTCAAACCTTCTATATTAGCTAGTCAAAAATTTGAGGTGTTAGAGTGGACCCTGACAATAGGAATCATTTATTCCTAATGAAATTAGACATGTGGAAAATTTTTGCTTTGTTAAATGACCTACAATGCTGGAGAATAAGAGCGTATTTAAACATTTTTAATTGAAAGGAAGTGGAAACCTGTCCTCTACCTCCAAGGCCTTGGGAGACATGAAGGATCTGTGATTCAAAGGCAGAAATGTAGGTGATGGGATGGAGTGCTCTTCCATAACACGGCAAAAGAGACAAGGAAGAGCATCCTTCCTACGTGGTGTTGGAACAGTCCTTTCACATATTGCAGACTATAGAACACGAAAGGTCATGGAAGAGCCATAGGATTCGGAGCTTCAAGAGACCACGGAGGTTCTGTAGCACAGAGGTTAAGCTTGGGGCTTTGCCTAGATTCAAAATCAAGCACCCTCGCTCTCTCATTGTTCAACTTTGGGCAAATTGCTTAACTTCTCTTCTGCCACAGTCTTCTTATCTGTAAAAATAGACCCTATCACACAGAACTGGTATAAGGATTACAAACATGCTTAGCTTGGTGCCAGCATGAGACAAACAGTATTACTTTACTGAATTAATATGTAATATTAACTATTATTATTTAATCCAGCATTTCCCTCGGAATACTAGTGCTATGAACCATCCCCTACCTCCCCCCCAAAATAGGATCCCTGGGAAAACAACTTTGGGAAATAAATATGTCCTTCTTGGAGAAAATCCCAAGTATGTTTGCGTATTAAGCGTCTGAAGATGATTTGCTGTACCTGTTGCTTGAACCTAATAAAATTTGCTGTAGTATACTGCCTTTTGAGGTGTCGAGTCAGCTCATTTCCATTTTCCATGAATTATTCAATCCTCTATCCACTTACAGAATAGGGCCCCATAGCTGCACTTGTTCTATGGGACTTGACTTATACTTGGTATCAAGCTTGAACACCTGAACCAAAGAAAGCCAATTAGTAAACTGAGGTGAAGAGCATCAGATTCTCTCTGGAGACTGGATAGATGGATGTTGGTGAGCTGGCATGTGACAGTTCTGTGGGGAATATGTACAAGGGGCTCAGACAGCCATCTTTGGATCATCATGTGCATACAAAAGTAGAGAAAGGGAGTCTGCGGAGACTGCAGAGAGAAAAAAGTAAAACAAACCCAAAGAGAAGTCAGGGAAGAGACCAGTTGGGGTGTGTGTGTGTGTGTGTGTGTGTGTGTGTGTGTGTAAGAGAGAGAGTAAGAGAGAGACAATGAGGTTAACTAAGCCTAAAATTCAGGATCTCTAACTTTAACAGGCCCCTTTCAAGACTGGGGTTCTAGCAATGTGTTCACATGGTCATTTGGTTTTGAAAAGTTTACAAAGGTAAGATATTTTAACCACAATAGATTGAGTCTTTTGTCTCCTTCTACTCTGATTTTACCTGTCTCATACTTCTTTCACTATCAGGTAGTATTGGAGTGGACATGATACTTTGGGAACTAAGGATAGATTAAGTTGGGGGTACATTTTGTTGAGGTTTAGTAGCATATTTTTGTAAATCATAGTTACTTCCATATAATTAAATTATTTTTAGCCCTTCTGATGTAGGTCTGGCTTCCAGGAATAGTCCTTATGCCCACTGTGCAATCTGTGGTGTAATGCAAAGACTCAAGCCCAGAGATCTTGTCACAATATGTCCTACAGTGCCTGATACTGGAAGTATGTAAGGAGTGGAGGATAAACAAGTTTGAAATGTCTAAAGCCAGAAGCTGGTCTGTGGAGAATTCTTTCAATCTTTAGATATGTAAAATTGCAAGCAAAAAATTTAGTACTCATCGAATTCTAGTCAAAAGTGGAAGGAATATATTTGTCATGCATATGTTTTACAATACAGCATATAAATTATGTGTGAACAGAATGGCAGAGTAAGGACCTCTGAAAAGTCACTCTTCCATAAAAGCAGTAAGAACACTGGGAAATTGTCAAAATCAACTTTTTGGGAATGCTGGAATTAAACTAAGGGCTTACGACAAGCCAGGGAATATTTTTCTATATCTTGTTTTCTTTCCTCAATATTCTGTTTATGAAGCCCTTCTATGTGATACTTGTAGCTCTAACCCATTCATTTTTTTTACTGCAATATAATTTTTTATCATACCAATATTCATTCTTTATCCATTTTCCACTAGTAGATGTTTAGGTTGGTTAGATTTTTTTCTATTACTAAAAAATAGCTATGAACGTGATACTCCTGTATGTATCTCCTTGTGTATGTGTACAAGATTCTATGGTCTAGGTGTGGAATTGCTTAGATAGGGAATGTGCATTGTCAACTTTACCAGGTTTTATCAAATTGCTCTCCAAAGTGGTTGTATGAGTTATATTCTTGCCGGCAATGGATAAGTGCTCAACAAATTCAGATCCCCAGTTCCTGTCCACATAGCTCATAATCATAAATGGTAAGGAACTGAGAGATTTAAGTTGGTAACTAGTCTTAATTATTTAAGCCATTTTTTCCTGCAATAAAATCAACAAAAACTGACATTTCCCGAGCACTTACTACATGCCGATCACTGTTACCTGTTTTCTCTGTATTGTCTCACTTCATCGTCACATGGCCCTCTGAGCTAACAGACACCTTAGGCACTGACAATTTGGATTTCACAAAAACTGAGAACTTCTTCTCTTCAAAAGACACTGTTAAAAGAATGAAAAGACAAGCTACAGACTGGGAGAAAATATTTGCAAATCACATATCTGATAAAAGACTCATTTCCAGAAGATATAGAGAACTCTCAAAATTCAATAGGAAGAAAACAAACAAACCATTTGGGGGTGCGGGGGAAACAAGCAAAAGATGAGTAGATACTTCCCCAAAGAATATATTTGGATAGGAAACTAGCACACAAAAAGATGCTCAACATCATTAGCCATCAGAAAATACAAATTAAAACCACAATATGATACCACTTCACACCTAGAAGAATGTCTCAACTTAAAAAGACTGACTATATCAAGTGTTGGCGAGGGTATAGAAAAAGTGGCACTCTCACA